TCTATGGTTTCCTATACCACCTCTCAGCACGTATTAAAATAGTATCCCTGGAATGTGTTGTGTTAGAATGTTTGATTCTAAAAAAATCGATGTTTGAGTGGCTGAGTTGGGTTTTATAAAACATTCAATGAATCTGACTTGGGATTAGGCTAAAATTTCCAATAATTTCTAAAATAGCCCTAAACACACTTCTGCCATTTTATACCACATATTTAGGTTGAAGTGGCACTCTTGCAATTGACAATTATAAAATCAAAGTATTGCCGGGCGATGGTGGCGCACGCCTTTAATCCCAGCACTCGGGAGGCAGAGGCAGGCGGATCTCTGTGAGTTCGAGGCCAGCTACCTCGTGAGTTCCAGGAAAGGCGCAAAGCTATACAGAGAAACCCTGTCTCGAAAAACCAAAAAAAATAAAATAAAATAAAATAAAAAATAAAATAAAATCAAAGTATTGATCCACTCTGAAAAAATCTGTACTATCAAATATCCAGCCAATTTTAATGTAAAATAAACAAGTACATTCATCTGATTATTAGATTCAGTTTCCTCTTTAGTTAAGTTGTAAAATTATATGTATACCTAAGAATTATCTTTAAATAAATTTAATTTTTTTATATTTAATTTATTTAAGGAGTGTGGGGATCGGGGCAACTTGTGAGAGTGAGTTCTCTCCTTCCTTCTATCACGTAGGTTCTAGGCTCAAACGCAGGCCAGCAGCCTTACTGACATGCTGAACCATCCTGCCGGCCTTTAATAATGCACATCTCTCTATGACTTACTGTCAGTAAGCATTTGATCTGTAGACCTATTTCCTATACCTGTATACTCAGGGTCACAGATAAACTTCTTGGGCAAGAAGGGAGTTTGAGATGAAGCGAGTTTAAGAGGCCCTGTTCTAAACAGAGAACAGACAAAACAGTTCAGAAGGAAGCTCAGGGCGGAGGCAGGTAGCTTGGTTCATACCCCTGCTTAAACCATAAATCACAGCTTGTTAGCTGTGCAGCCTGAAGCAACACAATCACTCTGCCTCAGTTTCTCTACCTGTAAGATGGGAGGTGGGCGGAGGTCCCAGGCTTAAATAATTTAGAACCACTATAAACACTGCTGGCACACAGGAAAAGTTCAGAAAGAAAGGGGAAAAACCCTACAATAATATCCATCTACTTAGGACTCTCAATCATGGACACAATGACAAATAAGATCTACTTGTCTAAAGAGCAGTTATTTGTACAAAGGAAGGTCCTGGGTCACTCTTTAGATTCTAGGAGTCTAGAAATTTCTGTGAGGATAAAGTCGTCCCATACACATGCCATTCAACAAGGCAGTCACATAAGGTTACCTGAAATATGGGTGGTGCAGGCAACATGGTATCTTAAGTTATGACTCATTACACAGACAAGGCTATTCCACCTTGTTGGACAGCATGTCTAAACTGAATGTTTTATAAAAACGGAAGCAAAAGCGACCTCTTTTCCCCTTGAGTTGCTGTTGTTTTCAGTAGAAACTTGGTAACTATGACCTGTTAAAGCAATAACATGTTGACTCACATATCAATACAGTGAAAGCTCAGAGCTAATAAATGATGAGAAACAAAGTGTGTGATCCTCTGGTATTTTAGACGATCCAGAAGGCCAAGTTAAATTCACACTGACATAAGCAAGCTCTGATACCCAGATCAGAACTGCAAAGGTCCCTATCCCCACCCCAAAGCATCAACTGAAAAGCTACGTCGTCTTCACCGAGATGCAACATCTCTGCCATTTGCTTTGTCTCCTCTCCCTCAGAAATCACAGTTCAGAATGCTGCTTCCGCTTTCAGAAACACTAGGGTCCTTGACCATCTCCCCTTTCCATTATAAACAAAATCCATGTACCACCCATATTTGAACCATAACGCCAGACTCCGGCTTAGCTGCCCCTGTAATACGGTTTAATTATGATGACTGAACTAACAGGCTGACATCATAGACTTTTACAGGCTGACCCCATGTCATCCTGATGTATCATTTTGCACCAGTTCAGTGCTGTAAATCAATTTAAGATCTCAAGCAGGTTGAAAAGGCTGGTAATGACGCTCTCTCTGCCTCCCTAGAGACTCGACATTATACACAACTTACATTATTTATAAAGTCTCAGCGATGCCTCCATTAGCCCTGTCAGACCACACAGATGAGATCTTTTATACACACACAGCTTGGCCTTGATTATGGAGGCTACCGGGGCTTAAATATGCTCATCTAATTACCTCAGGGTTTATTCTTCTTCCAATCTACCACATTACTGCATTTTATCTTGAGCCAGTATCGCTGGAAATCAAGATTAAAAGCCAAAATTTTGTTTTTAACTAGTATGTGTAGCTGGGACTAAGATTTACCTCCTCTTAATGCTCACATGAACTTACCAGAAAAAAAGAAAAATTAAATGACAAGATGAACAAGAGGTTAACATTTTTAATTGCAAAAAAAAAGACCTGTTCCTCCACAACGTAAAGTCCATCATCTCGCTACGGGTACAAAGCTGGGGGATACTGCAAAGGAAGAATGTATTTGGTTACTACCTACAGTTGCAAGGGTCAAAACTAAATCAAGGACAAATCCCGAGCCTCCCAAGAAACCTGATCTTCCTTGGGAGCCTCTCGAATCCCACCCCCAGAAAATCATCTCTTAAGACTCGGGTTTACATCTTCCTAAAAAATGCAAAATTACACACACGGCACACCACCTTCACAGAAATATCATATAACTGAAAATGAGAAACGCGGGGAAGGGGAGGGTAAACAGTCAGTACAGCCGATTTAGGCCTGGCACCTACATCATAGTAACGCTGGTGGGGGAAAAAATAATTTGCACTAATTGAAAACACCGAGGCAGTGAACATCGGCTCTGCCTCGACTCTGTGAATTGTTCCAGCACAGCTCATCTGCTTCCGGTACAACTAAAGTGGTAATTATAAACAAGATGAAAAATGAACCTGTCAGGGAACAGTTTTCTCATTGTGCTGAGGTGCGGGCACGTTATCCACCACAGGCCCTTGGAGGGAGAGATGTTGTAAAGGGCACGCTGTGATTTCGCTCCAGCAACAGAAAGACATTACACAAACCAAGCAACTCCTTCCAGCCGTGCTCTGAAAACTTCAGATGTCACCCAAGAGCCCAGGAGAGGGGGAAGAGAGAGGCCGGGTGACAACACGATGCTCTCTTACATGGCTGTGGCCGGGGCTGGGTTCTGTTGTGCCCGGCATTTAGAAAAACTGCATGCGCCTCCGAATAAACAAAAGCCGCGACTACCACAGTACCGAGATGTGGCCGCCGCTGGTCCCTCCCGGCTGCCCAGAGCACCCCGGGGAGACGCTGTCCCCGCAGCCCTCGCTCGCTCGCTCGCAGTCCGCAGAGCGGCCGCACAGGCCCGCGCTCTCACGCCCACCGCCCCCACCCCGGACAGAAACACTAACAAAGACGGTCGGGACGAGAACAGTTGTTCCCGGCTCTCGGAACGCAGTGAAGCAATCGAATCCGGTAAAGGGAAAGGAATGAGGCGACACTGGGCGACGCAGGGGGTGTAGGCGGAAGGAGGGAGGGGGGAGAAAGACGCGAGGCCGCCAGACCTTTGAATAAATCAGAGGGAACTGTGCTGCGAACTTTCCTTCACCCCGACCCCCAAAACAGGCTGCCTGGGGACCCCGAGGGGCGCGCGCACCCATCCAGGGAGACCCGAGCGGAGCGCAGCGCTGTCCCAGCGAGGGTCTGCAGGCCGGGGCGGGGACACAATGGGGCTGCGGCCCGATGCGGAACGGGGTCCCCGGAGAGCTGGGCACGCCCGACAAAGACGCGGGGAGACAGGAGAGGAGGTCCGGCGGCAGGTTCGCGGCCGCAAGGCGCCATCATGGGAGGGGGGGGGGACCGCGTCCAGGAGCTCGTCCCAGATTCCCCCAGAGCGGGTCCCCGAGTCCGCCCCGGATCCTCCCCGGAGCCCGTCCCGGATCGCCCCCCGGAGCCCGCCCCGGATCCCCCTGGAGCTGGTCCCTGTCCCGGTGCGCCCCGCGCGGCGCAGGACAAGTCCCTCTCGAGTCAGCTCGGGTACGCTCGACTTTACCGGCTCGGCGGCGCGCCCATCGGCGGGGACGCACGAGACCGGGCGCTGGGTCCCGCGCTCCGCTCCGCTCCTCTCCGCTCCCGGCCGCCGTCCCCGAGCCTCGGCCCTGGCCTCGCCGTGGTGCGCCCGCTCGCTCCCAGAGCCTGGATTGATCTGGTCGCGCTGGCGTCAGGCAGTCGGAACCGCCCAGCCTCCACAGCCCGCCTGCCAATACCCGGCTCACAACCCGCCCGCCCGCCGCTCGCCCTCGCTCACACGCGCACCGCGCGCGCCCGCTGCCGCCTAGGGATCCTCTCCAAATTCCCGGCCCGCGCCTGCCTCCGACTCTGCGGTCCCTGCCTAGCTGCCAGTCAAGTTCCAAAGCCCGTGTTTCTTTTCGGAAATGTTCTCGAACACGACCACCCAGCCCACCCAATCGTCCTACAAACGCCTTTTAATGGCCCTACAAGCACTGACCCAGTGATTTACAGGCTCTCCAAGTGGCATGTGCCCCAGATTGGGTGACCTGTTAACTACTGCTATGGCTTACACCAACCTCGCACTGGGTAGATACATTTGTTGCTAGTACGTACCCTTGCTGCGTCAAATGACAGAAGCCATTTGTGTGTTTAATACAAGGTCTCTCGTAGCCCAGAATGACCTCGAACTCGCTTTGTAGGAGAAGACCTTGAACTTCAGCCCCTCATCCTGAGTGCTGCATGCTTTTATTTATAAGGTTCCGGGATCACATCCACGGCCTCATACCTGCCAGGCAAGCACCTTACAGCTGAGCTTCACCCCAGCCGTTTTGTTTGCTTGCTTACTTGCTTGCTTGCTTGCTTGCTTGCTTGCTGTGCGACAGACAGGGTTTCTCTGCATAGCCCAGGCTGGCCTTGAAGTGGGAAGTATCCTCTTCGTGCTGTAAATTTTTGGTGCAATCTTTTAGATAATATAGTGTATTACCTCTGCTCCCCGCAAACAGCAACAGCAGCACAAAGGAGCTCACATCTTCCTGATCTGTTCAGACACCAAAAATACATTCTTTAAACAATCCACTTCTCTCTCGGTCAGTTTCTGGAAGCTGGCATGAAATCTTGGACATTTATCATAATGTTGAGTTATGTTCAGAGAAGAACTATTGTAGGAGTAAATGCCCCACAAACCAAAAAAAGAAAAAAAATCATTGCCAGCAATATAAAGAAAATACCAAAGGCCACTACAAATTAATGGTACTCTCCAATTATTCCTGTACCTTTACATGCTTAGCATTCCACTTAAAATTCTTATTAATTATTTAAGTATTATATCTGTATTCCATATTTAATTATTCAAAGGAAATGCAACAAATCCCATAAACCCATAAAATACCATTTATAAATTATACATAAGAATATTTCTGCTAATTAAATTTATTTCTTCATTAAACTATTTGAGCACTTACTGGTCAATTCTTGGATCTCATCTTATTTTCCTTAAAAGCAGCGTTTGACGTAGTTGGTTATTCTCCAGTCCCTTGTGCGACAGCTGTGTGAGCCTGGTTAATGCCTCTCCGTCGTTCCCCACCTCCTACAGGACCTCTTTTGATGAAAAGAATGAGGTATATCCATACACAGGAACATTATTCAGCCACAGAGAAGGAGTGGAGTACTCAGCACCAACTCAGCCAGGTGGGATAGCGCTTACCTGCTATCTCAGCAAAAAGATGAACTTCAAGGTCATCCTCGGCTGTATAGTAACTTCAAGGCCATCTTGGCTTGCGTGAGACCATCTCAAAAACAAAACAAAAGCAACCAAACAACAAGGCATTCTGCCAGACCGAGAAGGAAAGACCATACTTTATTTGCTTCATTTGTGTGAGATGTTCATAGTAGACAAATCCACAGGGACAGAAAGTTGCCTGGAATTGGGTGTAGGGGTGCAGAATTGAGGGACCTAGGATGATCACTAAAGGCTATAGGGTAGTAAAAGGATTCTAAAATAATAAAAATCTGATGGTTATGTAACTGTATGGATATAGTAAAAGTCATAGAATTTTATATTTTGAATGACTCCGTTATATGATTGTGAATTTTATCCCTATGAAAAGCTGTTTTAAAAAAGAAAGAAAGAAAGAAAGAAAGAAAGAAAGAAAGAAAGAAAGAAAGAAAGAAAGAAAGAAAGAAAGAAAGAAAGAAAAGGCAGAGAACTAAAGGCAGTGAATGGTTCTTGATTAAATCCTAAAGAGAGGGGTGGAGAGACCGCTTAGCAGTTAAGAGTACTGGCTGCTCTTCCAAAGAACCTGGGTTCAATTCCCAGCACCCACAAAGCAGCTCAAAACTATAACTTCAGTTCCAGGAGATCCAACACTCTCTTCTGGCCTCCAAGTGCACAGACATGCACGTGATACACACATGTCAGCAAATATACCTATACACATATAATAAAAGTGAATTAAAAAATCCTAGAAGAGAGATATACAGTGGCATTATATAATTGTCCATTAAAATAATTTGTAATATTACAGATAGCCTTTCTTAGTGTAGTTCTGGTATCCCTAAATGATAAGTATTAATGTTATACACACTATTAATTTTTATCTGATCCTGTACAAGTTATTTCTTTAAGTGATAATAAAAATTTGGATAGTTTTTCAAAAGGTAATTTTTGAGACAGTTGTAAATTCTGACTAACCTCACTATTAAAGTCATTTCATTTATTAAAAAAACAAAAACAAAAACACTTGGATTCCCATTTCACTCAGAATAAAAGCTCACAGCACATGTAGAGGCCCTGTATGATCTACCTTCTCTACCATCCTTTCCCCTCCTACCTGGTTTTCTCTCTCGCTCTCTTCCTCACGTCATCCTGGCCACCTCCATCTTCCTGATGGCCGGGGCTCTACCTCAGTTCTAATATAGTGCCATCACCTCCCTGGAAAGCCCTGCCCAGAGATGTCCATGAAACTTTCCCCACGGTGTGTGTCTTCACTCCCATCATGTAGAGGCCTCCCCGCTCCGGGCCCGAGCCTCCTGCTCTCAACTCCACACTCACACGTTGCTTGTCTCTATCTGGAGCTGTCATCCCTCTGTCCTGTAATAAATATCTTAGCTAACCAGAGACTCGGGTGGGCTCACGGTTTTGTTTGCTTGTTTGTTTATTTTGCCTGCTTCCACTACTCAATGCCATCAGAATCTAGCTGCTTTGGCCTTCCAGTGTGGACTGAAAACCAGCATCCTTCGGGTCTTCAGCAGCAGACTGACCATGCTGAGGCATCCAGCCTCATGAACTGGCAGCTACTGGACTCTGTTGTGCTGATGACCATGGTTGGATTACCCAAGCCCTTCATGTAAGCCAATCTAATATGCCCCTTTCATAACACATATTCATCCTATTTATTTCTGCTAGAAAACCTTGACTAATATGGTTTCCAACCCTCCCAGCAGAGGAAAGCACAGTCTGCTCCATAGACTCTTGGAAGATCAGAAGCTAGAGCAGTGGTACAGGGCGAGGAGGGAAGACAGGGAGGCTGGGATGCACCCAAGCTGGTAGCCGCAGGGATGTGAGCCCCAGGGAGCTCTCTTGGTGCTGTTCTCTACTCTATGAACTGTCCCAGGAATGCTTCCTGAGAATGGGAGAGGGTAGCCAGGAGGCCAGAGGGTAGAAGAGAGAAGAGTATTCTAAACACTCATCTTCCGGGAGTCAGGAAGCATCCGAAGTGCGGAAATGTGGTGGGGGTACCAGGCCACACTGCTAAGTACCCATCTGAGGTTGGCAATCATAACTTCGAAGCACACCCAGTCAGCCAGGTTCAGTTGACCAAAGGAGGCTGAGCTGGGCTTCACAGAGCAGGGGCTCTGCAGGTGAGTGTGATGGAGAGGGTAGAAGAGCCAGACACTAGAAGGCATAGACAAGGGAGGCCACATGGAACCGGGTGGTGAGGATCGAAGAGAGATCACCAGATGGTAGGGTCAGAGGACTGGCAGAGTCCAGTGGGCTTTGTGAATTTCTAGAGTTGAGGGGCATTCTCAATGCTGGAAAGCAGTTTGAGAAAGGGCTGCTTGAGATTCACAGTCGACAGAGCTGACTAAGCATGGGGGCACAGGACTGAACTCTGAAACATCCTCCATGAGGTGCAAGCCATCCTCATCATCTTTAGATGACACCAGAACCCATTTGATTAGGGTTTGGGAGGGGGAGGGGAGAGGAGGAGGAGGAGGATAGCTAGGCTTTGTGTTTGCTGGTTGCCTGCCCTTGTTCCGAGCCCTTCACACAGTTATTAACCCCTTAGTCCCTCAAAACAACACAGTAAGGACCGGAACGTTGGCTCACAGTTAGGAGCGCGTACTACCCTTGCAGAGGACCTGTGTGGGGTTCCCAGCACTCACAATGGTAGCTTACAGCTTCCTGTAATTCCAACTCCAGGGTAGTAGATGCCCTCTTCTGGCCTCCACAGGCATCTACATGCAAGTCTATGTACCCTCCTACCTCCATACATGTAATTAACAATAAAAATAAATCTTTTTTAGTATGGATGACACTATTTCTGTTTTTTATATGAGACACTAAGGTGCCAACTGCTAAGTGACTAGCTGCTGGTCACACAAGTGTGTTGACGCCTCTCTGGTATTCAGCGTGGCCTCTACCTATAGCAGATGCACTACAGGCATGCCATGTTCTTTTCCCCAAATATTCACAGTTTCTGTCTCCAAGCCAAGAGTTCTAGGCGAATTCACATCGAAGGAACAATGAATTTTTGAAAGTGACTGTATGATTTTTTTTTTCAATAGTTTTTCTTCTAGCAGCAATCTGCTTTTGGTATGTTTGTATCCACACACCGGAAGAATGACTTTGCCTGCTTTTAACACAAAACCTAAATAAGCCATGGCTTAAATAAGACCCCAGGGAGGGTTTTAGGACTGCAGGACAACTCAAGGCTCTAAAACAAAGTCCTCTGCCATTGTCTTGGCTTTTCCTTCATGGCTAGTTACAGATTAGCTGCTGCAGCCTCTGCCGATCTGAAGAGCTGATCTGAGCCAGAAGCTCTTTAAGCAGGACACTGCTTACTGCAGGCAGCAGGTGACTGACGTCACCACTCCCTCAGCCTCTGTGAGCCCTCGCTGATGACAGTTCTCCTATGATCTTTCCTATCTGCAAGCAAGGCCGGAGAATGTCCTTTTTAATCTGGCTCCACGTCCCTGTGAGGAAGAAGGGCAGGGTGAAGGCAGCAAGCTCGGATGGCTTGCACTGGCTCATGAGCCCTGAAGGACGTTATGCGGAAGGGGTGGCTGTGTGTGATGTGTGCACACGTTGGTGTTCAAATGTGCTTCCAGGAAACTCACTGTTAGACGTCTTTATCACTCTCAGCCTTGTGTTTTGAGACGGTTTTTCTCACTGAACGTTTCAGCTTTGTTAGCTGGCCAGCAAGCTCTTGGGCTCCACCTGGTTCTGCACCCCACCCCCACCCCTAGTGCTGTGGTTACCTGTACGTACAGCCGTGCCCTGCTTTAAATGGATACCGGAATTCAGACTCGAATCCTCTTGCACAGCAAGCACCTTACCCACCAACGCATCTCCCAGGCCCAGTTTTCAGGTTTTTTGCAGACTTATGTAGCACGTGCGTGTGGAAGTTACTCATGGTGGGAGCATCTGCAACAACCACAGCAAAACTGGACGAGCACCACGAGCTGAGGCTCTTCTCTCTCTCTGTGGAGAGCCAGTTGTTAAACATTTACCCGTACTCCAGAATCGGCGAGCAACCGGGACTTCCTGCTACAGAGGCCTTCCCCTCCTTACCTTCCTGGGTTATTTCTGACTCATGAGTCAGATTTATTAATGATTAAGCAGGTAAATGTTTAAGTGCTCGCCGTAATAACTTCCCACTTCTTCCTTCCGTGGTGGTTCTAGGTCACCCATTTCCATTCGCTCCTATCCTCTTAGAGAGTGTGCAGCATTCTTTGCTCGTGGGTTGGAAAGCTGTTGATATTTCTGCTCAAGTCTTATTTTTAAATATCCTGACATGTTAGTCTAGTAAGATTTGGACATGTTCAGAAACAGTCTCTGATTTTATATTCCAGCTGTCACTAAGACAATCCACTTTTCTAAGGGATAATCTGACGCAAGCATGCCACTTGCTATAAAATAATTCCTGCTTTCAAAATTAGTCTTGTGCCATGCACTGGGCCTGGTAGTGCACGCCTTTACCCCAGCACTCAGGAGCAGAGGCAGGCAGAGCTCTGTGAGTTCGAGGCCAACCAGAGCCACATAGTGAGACCCTGTCACACACACACACACACACACACACACTCACACACACACGCACACTCACATACACGCTCACACATACTCACTCACACATACACTCACACACAAATCTGTGTGGAAAAAGAAGGTGCTTGAAGTGCTATTGTTTCATCTTGGTAATAAGAAAAAGACAATGGCTGCTGCTGTTGTTTGTTTGTTTGTTTTCTGGCTCCTTGAAAGTTAGTATTCATGGAGGAGGTCTTCAGGTCAGTTCCAGCTCAGGGCCTCTGGGCCCACGTCAGAAGTGCATGCTGTCTTCCACATAGGGACTTACCTTCCACCTCTGGGAGCAACTAAGGGCAACAGCAATAGTCTATCATGTCTGGGGAGTCTGTTGGACAATCCTGACCAAAAACTCAAGAGGAGACTTGTCACGCCTGCTGTTGGGGTATTTGATAGACGGTCTTTGGCTCTTGGTGGGAACATTTTCAGCACAGATGGGAAAATTTCATTTAAGCTATACATGTATATCTATATACTGGTTTACAGGTAGTACTGGTATTTTTAGGTAACTAGTTAATAGTTTGATTCCTCCTGACTTTTGCAGACATCCATACTGTTATCTGGATGTTATCCCCCACCCCCACCCTGTCCCTAATTAGAGCTCTGCTCTGTTGTTCCCATTTTCTACATGTGCCTTGCTACCCCCTTTTACCCCCTAGCCCCCACAATGGTCCCCCTAGATCCCCCAATGATCCCCTGTTGTCCCCAAGTCCCAGCAATGGTCCCCTTAGACCCCCGATGGCCCCCATTGCTCCCCTAGCCCCCATAATGGTCCC